TCCCATCAGCATCATTTTTCAAAAATAAAATTAGACTCTAAAACATTATAATATATGTATGGGACATTATTCGTGAAATTTTCATTCAAAATTTTTTTGTTTAAATTAAAATTTCACGAAGAATGCCCCATATTGATTGAAATATTGATTACATTCTAACTTATATTAAAGGATATAAATTATGTCAATACAATAATATTTTTAATCAAAAATATATGTCTAACACTTACTCTAGCAAATTTGTCAGATTCCTTCTCAAGTGGTGTTTCTAAAATAATACAGTTTTCTGAATTGTTTGCGACTGATTTAGTATGTTGAAGTGAATTTTCTTTATTTTGTTCATTGAGATTTTCTATACCCTCCGTTGTTTTGCTTAAATTATTTGTTTCACAACTTATATTTCTTCCAGTAACATAATTTTGCTGGCCTATAAGTTGCAACTGGTTTAAATTGTCATTTTCAAAATTATTTGAAAATAAAAAAGTCTCTTCTTCAGATATTGGTCCCTAAAGAATTTTTTAATGTTTTAAGATTACGGAAAATAGGTACTTGGAAAATTATTAATAATAATCTCCAAAGTGAAACAAATGAAATATAAATTAGTAGACGTTATTAAAGATTTCATTTAAGACCTTGAGAATTACTTTGCATTCATAAGTTTATCAAGAAAAATATTTTTGCCTTTATATTAATTTTTAAAAGAGATAAGAGTCCAATTTAATTATACTGAAAATTTAATCGCGACGTCACGGTTTCTTGATTACGTTTCGTTTGTCATTGAAAGTCAAATATCTTCAGAGCAAAATATAACTAAAAATAAACAATACGTAAGGAATGGAATAGAAGCTTTAATAACACTTATACCAAATATATAATGCTACAAGTGAAAATAATTTAGTCATTTACCTTTTGAAAAGGCGGTAATTTTACTCTTTTTGTAAAAAGTTCTCCAGAATCTAAGTCTCGAATAACATCCTACAACAATATATTATAATTTATAACAATCATATTAACCTTAGAATTTTTTATTTTTTAATATATTATAATTTTTAACATACAAATAATATAAACAGAATAAAATAATCTTAAAAATTTTAAATCTTTAACTTTAAATAAAATAATCTTTAATTACTTTAATAGATTTATATTAATAATTTTTTTGAAATTTAGATAATCAATTTTACCTCATTGTCATTTCGACAATCATCATCAGCTTCATTCATTTTTGTATTTTTGTCAATAATTGGAATTGGAAAAAAAAATTTGCTATATTCAATGCCTTAAAAAAAAAGTCTAATGAAATAAGTTTGATAAAAAATGTAAGTGTATATTATGGTTTACTTACAGAATATAAAGCACTTTTTGATTTATCGTTTAGCACAAAACCATAAAAATAAACCAAATCACCTTTTCACATAGGCACGAGATTGGCACTGAGGCATGATTGTCGTTTATCTTTCCCGCGCGGCATATTCATAGTTTCGGGTAGATTCGTCAATCCTCGGGAGCCAAGCACGAGGATCAATAGTGGTCGATATTAAATTTCCAAAGTGAACATTTTAATTTTTCACATCGATATACGTGTGGCTATGGTTTTAAGATCTTTTCATATTTAATATGTTAAAATTTCAAAAACTTTATTTTAATTCGTGTTATTTTTAGTAATGAAAAGTAAACTTTTTTTTTACAAATTACTAGTCTCAAATTTAATAGAGACAAAAACTAAAATTTCTAAGTCAATATATGAAATTTAATTTTCTTTCATTAATAAGTATTCATATTGCAATTTTAAATATTATTAGTGAACTGTGAATAGCCTTCATTTAATATTGAATTTCTTAAAATGTATTACCATTTTTAATGTCTTTTAATATAAGAAGTCTTTCCGTGTACTGGGACATGTTAATTATAGGGGCATGTTAACTAATGGGACATGTAATGTCCATTCGGGAAAATGTCCATTCAGTAAATGGAGATTTGGGATCTGTGGGGCCCCAAAATTTGAATTTGGGAGCTATGGTGCCCCAAAATTTGAATTTGGGATCTGTGGTGCCCCAAAAGTCTAATTTGGGATCTGTGGGGCCCCAAAATTTGAATTTGGGATCTGTGGGGCCCCAAAATTCGAATTTGGGATCTGTGGTGCCCCAAAAGTTTAATTTGGGATCTGTGGGGCCCCAAAATTTTAATTTAGGATCTGTGGTGCCCCAAAATTTTAATTTGGGATCTGTGCCCTAAAATTTGATTTTGGGAGCTGTGGTATCCCAAAATATACTACGGACAGACGGACGCCAAAGTGAAACTATAAGGCTTTCAGCCATGGGCCACGAAACCCTAAAAACTAATTGTCTAAATAATATTGTTAATTAAAGTTGAGATTTTAATATCAAATACGCAGCTATTGTCAAATAATTTTAAAACTCATCTGATCCACTCGAAAATCGTTACTCGTGTCACGTCTCCGTAACATATATATATATATATATATATATATATATATATATATATATATATATATATATATATATATATATATATATATATATATATATATATATATATATATATATATATATATATATACATATATTATTTGCTTGCGACAAACACCCGTGCCTTTGTTACGCATTTAAATGCTTTTCTCTTATGTAAACTCCCGCCCCATTATCCCATTATCGAGCCACTTAATGTATAAATGACCCTTGCGTTTTGTATCTTCCTATGTCTATATACTGTATTTCTAAAACATAGAAATAAAAGCGAGAAATCTTTTAATTCCCCCCATATAACGAACACCTGTGGTATCATCACATTAGAAGAACCCTCTTCTTTAACGTTTAACTGAGAGAGAAGGACTCAACATCGACTTCCAAATTAGGGTGAAAAATATATAGCACTACTGTTTTACGAATATTCAGTATAGAAGAACTCAACTTTGGCTTCTAAAAAAAAGGGTGAAAATATATAGCACTATTCTCTTATATCGAAGGATTCGACATCGGCTTCTAAAAAAAGGGGTGAAAAATATATAGCACTATTCTCTTATATAGAAGGATTCGACATCGGCTTCTAAAAAAAGGGTAAAAATATATAGATATATTCTCTTATGAATATTCAATATAAAAGGACTACATTTTTATGGAGAAATCAGTTCTTAAATTATCTTCATACGTTTAACATCAATCTCATTCTTGGTACCAGTTGACGTCTACTAGTTCAAGTGTATCATTCTCTATTACGAAAGTGAAAATCAAGTATCAAAACCCTCTACATTAAGCGAGGATCATTTCAACTATTTACATTGGGCAATTATCTATTCTTCCTCTATTTGGAAGAGATTCATTAGTCGGACATTTGTCACGCCTAATAGAACTCCGGACCTGCGGTTATACCTGGGCCCGTCAACCTACCTGACGTCACAAACTCACGCTGGTACCAGCTCTTTCCCTGGGTCAACAAAGGACACAGCAGTGGTCCTTTTATTGCAACTTATCTACTATTGAATTTTAAGGTAAGTGTCTTATATTTTTCACTCCTAACTTTCTAAACTTGTCGTATATTTGTGGTAACCCTTACATTCCTTATTTCAGTTGAATGCTGAACTCATTTCCTGGATTGGTTGGTTCGAGATTCCCTCTCTCTCACATAAGAACGAACTCTTTTTACCCTAAATATTTGTCTAAATAAAATTGTAACTTAATTATAAAAATTTCTATTCTCTTTCTTACCTGTACCCTTAGTTCAGAGCCTTCTGCTCTGCAAATGAAACAGGATTACCCTGAATCACCGAAGCGGAAATAAATAAAAATAAAATATTATTTCTAAAGTTATTTCTTATTTTTGAAACGCAACACTTGGGGGTTTTCAGGGTCGCTGATTACGAATCTGAAGTCGATTTTTAAAAATTCAAAATGGCGGATACAATATGGCGGACGAAAAATTAAAAATTCATCGGATTCACTCGAAAATAGTTACTCTGGGGTTTTCGGGGTTGCTGATTACAAATCTGAAGTCGATTTTCAAAAATTCAAAATGGCGGATCCAATATGGCGGCCGCCAAATAAAAAATTCATCGGATTCACTCGAAAAGAGTTACTCGGGGATTTTCGGGGTCGTTGATTACGAATCTGAAATCGATTTTGAAAAATTCAAAATGGCGGATCCAATATTCACTCGAAAAGAGAACCCCCGAGTAACGATTTTCGAATGAATCTGATGAATTTTTAATTTTGACGTACGCCATAATGGATCCGCCATTTTGAATTTTTGAAAATCGACTTTAGATTCGTAATCAGCGACCCCAAAAACCTCCGAGTAACTCTTTTCGAGTGAATCCGATGAATTTTTAATTTTGACGTCCGCCATTTTGAATTTTTGAAAATCGATTTCATATTTGTAATCAGCGATCCCGAAAACCCCTGAGTAACGATTTTCGAGTGAATCCGATGAATTTTGAATTTTGACGTCCACCATATTGGATCCGCCATTTTGAATTTTTTAAAATCGACTTCAGATTCGTAATCAGCGACCCCGAAAAGTTTTAAAATTATTTCACAATAGCTGCGTATTTGTTATTAAAATCTCAACTTTAATTAACAATATTATTTAGACATTTAGTTTTTTTTTTAAATCTATGCCACCATGTCAAAGGTTGAACATTTTTGACGCGATATTTGTACCTCGGGAAGATATTTTAGAATTTTACATTGCCCAAAAAAATTCTTAGTTAAAAAAAACCTTGAATATTCATGTTTTTTTATAAATAATTGCCAAACTTTAGGAAAAATTTTTGTACATTTGGTCCTTTAAGGGGTTAGAAATTTCACATAATTTTATGTAATTAATTTTTTTAAATGTAAGCCCAAAATGACTAGTTTGTCGTGTAAATCAAGATATGCAATAATTACAAAAAGAAATCTAAATAAATATATTTACAATGAATTTACAATATATTTTACAATGAAATTAAAGTTAAAAATTATATGTACGAAAATTAAACTTACTTGTCGATCGCACTCTAGGCATGAAAAATGTCTCATGTGCCATGCTCTGCCTTCAGCTTCAGTGCACTCATCCGCAAGAATGATTTCATCGCAAGCACAACACCTCGGTTTAAGGGTCTCTGCATGATGCCGACCACAATACAGTCTTCCATCTCTCCAGAAATAAATGAGATCGACAAGAAGTTGTCTACAAACACAGCAGACAAAACAAGCTGGATGCCAGAGAGCAGCAGGTCCTGTTCTAGTCGCAATAACAGCAATTTCTCCGGAAGCGATGGCCCTACCGCACTCTCGACATCCGCTTCCATGAGCCCGGTCTACTTGGCTGGCTTGACCTCGACCAAGGGCCTCACGTTTTCTTTGTCCTGCAAAAACTCTCAGTTCTCGTTTTTCCTCTTCCGTTAAACCACTGCAATATCTAGCCTCGTTGTCATGAGGTGGCAACTGCTGCAACAATTGCCTCACTCTTTCTCGTTCTCCAGCACTGCCGACATATGGAATTTTATCTTCTGGTAGTCCACTAAAGTATAACTGAACCTAGAAGAGGAAATATATACTCTTCATAAATCGTGCCTAGAAAACTTAAATTTAAATTAAAGTAACAGTTCAATAACGGTTTTTGAATAATTTAAGGGCAAAAAGAAGAAAATCGTTCGACAAATCTTTAAGAAAATCGGATTTTCGTATTTTTCATCCGACAAGTGCGAGTTACACTCGCACTGAAATCGAGGGTTCCGTACTCGAAGCGAACTTATTTGGTATAAAAACAAATGTTTAAAAAATATGTGTTGTGTATTAAATAATATATGTGATACAAAAATGAACAATTTTTTTAAAAAAATTTAAGAAAATTGTTTCTCCTTTGGTATAAAAACAAAAAAAAATTTTTAATTTGTTTTGTATTTCAAATAATATAAGTGATACAAAAAGGAACAATTTTGTAAAATTTAAGAAAATTTGTTCCTCTTCGTATTACTTATATTATTTGAAATACAAAACAAATTTAAAATTTTTTTTTGTTTTTATACCAAAGGAGGAACAATTTTCTTAAATTTTTTTTTTTAAATTTTTCATTTTTGTATCACATATATTATTTAATACACAACACATATTTTTTAAACATTTGTTTTTATACCAAATAAGTTCGCTTCGAGTACGGAACCCTCGATTTCAGTGCGAGTGTAACTCGCACTTGTCCGATTTTTTTCGTTTTTTGCGGAAAAATACATTTTTTTTATTAAATTTATCATTTTTCTTCAAAAATTTGATAAAAATTGATCATCAACTCCAATCGCGCTTACATTTTTTCCCTGTATTTTTCACGCAAAAATACAGTTTTACAGCAAATGTGAACAATTTGGGTTGAATATTGTGTGCGCTAGGGAGAATAAATCATTTTTTTCGAAATTTTTGATTTTTCCTTGACAACGCTATGTAAATTGATCGAAATCAAGTTCGCTATATTTTTCCTGTAATTTTCACGTAAAAATACGTAAGTGTACCAAATTTGAGCTCTTTATGTCAAAAGATGTGGCCGCTAGGGGGGCGTACATAGTCATTTTTAGGCATTTTTCGTAAAAATTCATGGTTTTTCCTTGACAACGCTATGTTAATCAATTCCAATCAAGTTCGCTATATTTTTCCTGTAATCTACACGCGAAAATACATATGTGTACTAATTTTCAGCCCTCCAGATAAGTTTGTGTGGCCGCTAGGGGGGGAGGGTACACGATTTCAAAAAAACCGATATTAATAGGGTTCCGAACCGAGTACGGAACCCTAAAAATCGGATAAGTGCGAGTTACACTCGCATTAAAACCGAGGGTTTCATACCCTTAAACCTAAAATTTGAGGGGTTTAAAGTTTGAAGGCCTAGATAGAAAACATGAACATAATCATAGACATAAACATAGAACATAATCTAGGCATAAATTTGAAAATAATGTGAGCACATAGATTTAAAAATAAATTAATAAAACTAAAAAATAATTAAAATATCAACAAATAAAAAATGTCAAAAAATAAAAAAATAGCAAATGGTAAAAAATAGAAAATGGCAAATTATAAAGAATGGCAAAAGACTGCAAAAAAATATAGCAAGCACAATTGGAGTTGAAAAAAATTAGGAATTGGCCTCAAAAAAGGAAGAAAATTTTATCTTTCTGGGTCAAAAAATGTAAAACTTAAGGAAAAAGTCCACTTTTTAAAAAAATAATTCATGGTTTTTCCTTGACAACGTTATGATAATTAATTCCTATGAGATTCACTATATTTTTCCTGTAATCTACACGCCAAAATACATATGTATACCAAATTTCAGGCCTCTGGATAAATTCGTGTGGCCGTTAGGGGGGGGGGGGGTACATGCCTTGCTTCACTAGTCTCATTAATATGGTTCCCCCTTCGGGTACGGAACCCTAAAAGGAAAAAGAAATTTATAAGCACTTGTATGCATATCAATGTGACAGTATTGCTTTTCGTTACTTGCACAGGAATAGGAGATAATCATAGTACACTTGGAGAAACTGGAGGAACCCGCAATAATTGGAATCGAAAAAAAGATGGTCAAAACCCCGAAATGGAAAGTGCACTCCAAAATGTTAGATACAATAAGGTTTTGTAGTCTATAATTACGAATCTAATGTCAAATTTACAAAATTCAATATGGGAGACGAAATTTTAAAAACTTTTATGAAATTGGTGTATTTAAAAAAAGCCTTAGTGTATAGCAGTTTTTCAGGTCGTAATTTTTAATCTGAGGAAAATTTTCTAAAATTTAATTTAACAAATTTCATTGGCTTGATCGAAAAATGTAATCCAATGAAATTCTAGCTCGGGTGAAAATGATACGTTCAATTTTCGGATAAATTTCGTGCAAATTAAGCAAGAAAATTCGATTGGAATTCGTATGGCGTTTCGAAACACATTTTTTTACGAAAATTCGTGTTAATTTCGTAGTACGAATTGTCATTAAAAATTTATTTTTCAAATTATGTACGAAAATTCCCATAGATATTCGTAAATAATTCAAACGAATTTCGTACGAGAAATCGGTTCATAACGCCACAAAAATTTATAGCTGAAGTTCGTACGAAATTCCATACGGATTTCTCAAAAAATTAAAAAAATTGTTTCCTGATAAAAAAAATCCGCCTGGATTTTCTGTATAACTTTTTCAAAAACGTGGAAAATAATAAATAAAATAATAATCAAAATTTGAATTTGATGTCTATTTTTGAATATCTGTCACGGTTAAGGGGATTAAAAATTTTTCACGACGATTGCCGCCTGTAAAATCCTGAAGAATTTTTTTAGCAGAAGAAAATTTTTCTTTATATGAATTGTATGAATGTCATGTGAATTACGTCATTTTGTACGTAATCCATACGAATTTCTCAGCAAATTTTAAAAATCAAATTTGTATTTTTTATTAAAGTGCTTACTTTTTATAGTAAAATCCACATTCTAGGACATTGCTGACTTTTTAATTTCTTGAAATAATGTTCAATATTTTTTTTTTTTTTAAATACATACAACTATTTTTGTATTAATTTATTAAAAGCGCCTTGAATTTAAAGCGACTATAGTACCCACACTTACCCTAACTGAGCAAAATAAAATAAGACTCTTCGTATATAAATTTAATGCAATCTTCTCTTTCATTCGATATATGAAAGTAATATAAGAATTTATCAATTTAACTAATTTGCATATTTACTTGTTTCATAGTAAGGGTTAAGTGTTTTATAATGAACATTCTTTTTTTCGTAAAGGAATGGGGAAAACTGTATACAACACTAAGTGTAGAAGACAAATTTGAAAAATAAGTACTTTAAATTATCTATTTGCAAAAAATTATAAATAATAATATCAACAAATTCATAAACTGCGACACTAGTTTTTTATTAGTAAGAGAGAAAAATCAACTTAAATATTTTATTGTTGCTCAGTCACAAGTAACTTCAATTTTATTGAAAAGGGACTTTTGTTTTATAAAATAATTTCACGTTTTTAACAAATAGATCAACATATCTTTATTTTTTTAATTAACAAATAAATAAAAATTTTTAATTATTTATATTTTTTGCTTTACGATCGGTCTTTGGAATACGGCACTGAAAGTTGTTGACGTCATTGCACGCTATGAAATCACGGCAGTGGTTAGAAGGTGCACGGTATGGAATCGCACGGTACGGAGACACGACTGTGTAAACCTATTTTTGAGATATATTTTGGAATATTACTCAAAGTGATATAAACTGAAAAGTTGATTTACAGAATTAAACTTTTTAAATCTTTGTAAAGTGTATATCCTTCCTCATACTTGAATTTCTTATGTGCGTGAGATCGTTTAAATGGAATGGGTAATTCGCTTAGATGCACGGTTTAGACAGAAAGTTAGTGAGGCCAAGGGTGCCGAGTACGTAACATTGTGTGACGGGTACCTTACAAATTTTAATTGAAGTCAAAATACACCTTGCAAAGTCAACCTTTAAATTTTGTACGACTCCCAATAGAGGTAAGTGAAGTGATTTCGTTTAAGTGACATATTGAGTGCAAATGTTATTGATATCTTTTGTTATTTATCAACAATTTATATTTTTATCGGATGGTAAAAGACGGTTATTTCACTTAGTGTGATAGAGCTGTCGTTAGACTTTTCGTCGCTGAAAGCGACTTTAATTAATTAAATACTTACCAACAATTCCAGAAGGAATTTCTTCTTTTATATTTTTATATATCACGACCGAGGAATCATAACTGGCTGGTTAGCAGAGGTCGCCAAGTCTAGCCACAATCTGGATACTTGCGGGAATAAATTGAACATAATTGTATTTTCTACGAAACATTCGTTAATTGATCTTGACTAGCATTCTATACCATTTCCGAAAACAATAGACTAAAAACACATTGAGTATTTAACAATTTATAAGTAAAAACCAAAATTAAATTTATAAATAATTAAATTTTGACCTCACATCATTTATAAATAATTGAATGAAATTTTATTTATGATTTGATACTCATAAAGAATTTTGTAAATCTTCATTGTAGCGCTAATTCAAATTATATTGTCCATATGGTTTTATTGTGAAGGTAAAAAATATATTAGTTTCTCGAAATTGGACAAGTTTTTCTATTCACTGTTTGATAACGTGTGAGAGAGTTTAATTGATTTTTAATAAATAACGTCACATTGAAATTTTGTGTCTTTATTTAAAATAAAAAAGATAAAGTAAAAATTTTAAATTTTTTACATCTTCTAGTACTGCTTTTTAAATTATTTCTTTCAGTTAAAATAAGAAGGAAAGCATATAATACAGGTGCAGAGGAATACTAATTAGAAGCACCTGCCATATTCTTTGGAGTTTAGCCTTAAACTTCTTTGACCGTTGACACATTTTCATGAGAAATTTACCAATTTACCTCTTTCATATACAGTTGGTTCTCCCGAAGTGTGCACCTCCTCAAGTGTACGGTTTTTGGGGTTTACTTTAAGTGTGCCACTGTTTTGTGCGAGCGCAACGAAAAACAATAGAAATTCAGGGAAATTCATTCTTACTACCTTCATGTGAGCAGGGGAAGAGAAACATCCAGGGAAGCATAAAGTTTTTAGAACATAAATTTGGGAGATAGTCCAGTCAAATTAGACGAAAAACAAAGCATATCATCATATCATTTAACTCAGGACCTCAGTTTTTTTTGGTTAAACCCTTCATTTTGGGGTAAAAATGAAGTACCTAAATTATATACAATGAACTCCTTTAGGAACCTAATTTTTTTTTGCAAAATAGGTGCAAAAAATTAGTTTTTTTGCAAATTGATGCTTCCCATTTCATTTTAGCGTAAAAATAGTTCAGAGAGAAAAGATAGTGTACAAAATTCTAAGTAATTTGAAAAAAATCAACCCTGCAGCTCAAAACCCAATTTTTTCGTGATTTTAGCAAAAATCCGGTATTTTTCAGTTTTTTCAATCTAGCTTTGAAACAAATGATTTTTTGAAAAAATGCCCAACAGAAAGGTTAAAGCTGACAAAATTTCTGACAATTTGCAAAAAAGAACAATGCAATACCTCTAATAGTTTCCGAGATACAGTCTCTCAAACTTGACCCTTTTGAGGTTTTACATACAATGGTAATTGTCTCTCAACTTCACCAATTTTGTATATGAAGAACTGCAATTTAGTGCACATACGTATTTTCACATTTAGTTTACAGAATAAATATAGCCAGACCGATTGGATTCGATAGCTGCGAGCTGGAAAGGAAAAAAAATCAGTTTTTTTCGAAAAAATTGCAATTAATGACACTGTCCCCTCTTAACTTTACCAATTTGGTATATGAAGAACTGCAATTAAGTACACATGTGTATTTTTAGGTTTAGATAACAGAAAAAATACAGTGAGACTGATTACATTTTTGATGGTTACGAGCTAGAAAATAAAGAAAACGGTTTTTTTTAAATTGCAAAAAAAGACACTGTTCCCCCCCCCCTTAACTGCTACCTTTTTATATATGAAAAACTGCAATTTAGAACACATACGTATTTTCACGTGTAGATTACAGAAAAAATATAGTGAGACTGATTACATTTAACGGCTACGAGTTAGAAAGAAAACAAATCGGGTTTTTTTTTAAAATTGCAACTGCTTGGGCTCTCACAAACCCCCGATGTGCTTTTAGCTTACACAAGTAAAACAAAGCAGAATTTTTACCCCAAAATCGGTATAAAAATTAACTGCAACAAATTTTATCGTAGTTGAGGGCGCCACTGTCTATGTGAATTAGCATTGGTTAAAATTGCCCTCAACAAAATTTATCCATATATAATTAGTTTTAGAAAAATTCATAAGTTTAAATATTGTTAAAAATAAAAATATCGATCAATTTTATAAAGATTTGTAAACTGTAAACTTTATATACATCAAACGATTTGTTTTGATGCGAGGAATACATCTCTGACAAAAATTAAAAATTTTCATGAAGAAAAAACCCACACAGCACATGATATTTCTGAAATATTTCAATGCCAAGTCTTTGAAATATTGATGAAATTAGGGAAATGTCCGCCTATAAGAAATATTGCTGTGTAATTTTGCTAAAATATTTCATTAAAATATTATAGAAACATTCTAACTTAAATGATGCTTGCTGGTCGATCTCAGTTTCTATGTCCTGTACAGCTGCGCAGTAGTTTTTAATTTTTTAGGATCCTAAGGTGTTGAACATGTTAGAAAATAACGATTGATTTCATATTTTAAAAAAGTTTCTAACTTCTTTAAAGTGTAATATTTCAGCAAAATTGCATGGCAATATTTCTTATAGGCGGACATTTTCCTGTTTTCCTAAACATTTCATGAACCTTGAATTAAAATATTTTATATCTGTCAATGAAATATTTATGAAAATTTAGGAAATATAATGTTCTGTGTGGAAAGTTATTTCAAAAAATTCGAAAATCGATTATTTCTAAAAATTAAAAATTGATTTAATTTATAGATTTTAAGTAAAATATAGACTTTATATAGGTTAATCAATTCATTTTAATGCAAGAAATCAGTTTTTTTTTGACAACAAAATTAAATTTACAGTGTAAAAAATTTTTTGTTTAAAATCGCATTTTCGAATTTTTGAAAAAGTGACAAAAAAAAGTATGTAGATATTTTTGTAAATCCTTGTGTCTTATTTTAGATAATGATGACTACACGGAAAGAAATTTAGTAGCAATATTTAATAAATCTGATAGGAAAATTTAGTATTCTCTTTTTCAAACGCAGAACATTTGGGTTTGATAACGAAAATCGGTATATTTTTACCAATAGTCTTTTTAGTAAATATATTCCAGAAATTGAAATTATTATTTCGTAAATTGATAAATTTATACGAAAAACCAGAAGTAAGTTAAATCGACGCGCACTTTGTTATTTACAAAATTTATATGAAAATTTGGAAAGATTATTTCGAAATTTGTTAAAACTATACTAAAAATTCGAAGTGGTTCAGTCGTGACAGATGACGACAGAAACACCAACAGATTCTACGCCAAAATTTTATCTCTTTCTCATCTCGAGGATATGAACTTTTAAATGCACACACACACACACATACACCTCATTGTTTTACATCGATTGGCTTATTTTTATTCCTAACCTATACTAACGATAATACATATAACATTCGCAGAATAACGATTCATATACAAATTTACGCTCATGTGAAAAACTGACGTGACCATTCTTATATACTAACCAGACATATTTTTCACCGCTTATGAGAAAGGTGAAATTATATTAAAACATGTTTAAAAATATAAATAAAAATCATTATTTATTGGGAAATAATTAAATATTTTATTATTTTTTGAAGAACAATTTTTTTTACTGATTTATTGTAAAATCTTCGAAATTAATTATATAAAAGAAATTCAGGTCCTGTATCAAGATAATAGTAAAAAGGGGCTTGTCTAAAGAGCTTCGTCAGTCTTCGTTACCACTCGGTGAGGATCGGGCAATTCCGAACGTTCAACTTCGGCAAATTTCGTCGAATCTCGTTAACTTTGATATTTCTTTTTCAATTTTCATATCAAAATCTAAAATAATTATATCATTTTATACAATTCTAATTACGAAATTTGAAATATTTGGTTAGAAAAATTGATAAAGAGCTTATTAAAATTTGACATTTTTGTGTTTCAATAAAAAGATTTCAGATTTCGTAAATATTATATCAAAATTTCTTTCCAACTATATTAAATATTCTTATTTTAATCTCAATCATTCTTAAAAATAGTATCGAAAATCGTTATCATGCCAAAATGTTCCGCAATTGTAACCAAATATACTAAAAAGTAACACCATAATATCAAATATTGCTACAAACTTTCTTTCCGTGTACAATAAGCCTACAAAATTTCAGGACAATCTATCAAAGTGTGTTGGAGATAATTTGAACACAATATTTTGTGACAAAATACACACACACATAATGTGGATATTTGTTTAAAACTTTAAACATATCGTTCACCCCAAGTCGAACGTATGTACACGGAGAGAAAAGGCGTAGTGAGACTTACTAGACAGAAATAGTTAAAGCTGAATAGCAGCGCTAACTGATTAACTAGTTACCCTTACTAAACGAATAGTTAGAATTACTACGCCAACTAGTTGGAAAAACTTGGGTGTTTAGTTAACGTCAAAATAGTTTGTCCTACTAGGCAGCCAGTTTGACGTACTAGACGGCATAGTATAATGCGAACGTGGTATTTCTAACTATTTCGTTTAGTAGGCGTTACAAATTATTAAGATGGAACAACTATGCCCTAATAGTCAATGACATTATGATCAATTTTTTTAGCACATACTGATGGTAATAGGGTTACATAATGTTTTATTATTTAGTTTATTAATTAATAAGACAGTACGTAACCCTTTTTATTTTTTTACCTATTATTTATAATATGTATATATAAATAATAAAGTAATTAAATTTTATTATTATTTTAAAAAGATAAAATAAAATT